TTTCTCCACCAGGCAAAGATTAATGCCCCAAGCTCCAGTTCTTTTTGGCAAGCTTTCGTTGCAAAGGCTCTCGGCAACCACGTGTTTGACCTGATATTCATTCCCAGGTTCCCAGTATTTCTTTCCCAGTGACATTCAATTCCGTGAGTGAGGAGATTATGAAGCAAAGGATGATAACTGATGCGCTAGCTTGGATTTATGATACTGATCTTAGGAGGAAATGTAATGAAAGGATGATAACAATGATAACGATAACAAGTATTGTGACAATAGTCATAGTCAAAAATTATAATGATGGTGATAATGTTAATAACAATAATTTTAGCTCTATATATGATAATGACAATAATGAATATGATAATAAGTATAGTGATGATAATAATAATATAATAATAATAATAATAATAATAATAATGATAACAATATTTAGGATAATGATAATTAGTTATGATAACAAAAATATAAATTACAATAATGATATTGCTGATAATTATAATGATAACCTTAAGAATAAGAAAATAGGAAGAAGGAGGAGGAGGAAGATGGCAATGATAAAAAACAATCAGATTCGTAATAATAGGTATTGGGATATAGTCAGAGCCCTGGAGATAAAAATTGGCCGAGACTGACAGACAGAGAATACAATCTAAAAAGAAAATAAAAGAAAGACAAGAAAGGAACACTCCGAACAAACAGAGAAAGAAAGAAAGAGAGGAAGATTTTTTTTTTTTTTTTTTTTTTTTTTTTTTTTTTTTTTTTTTTTTTTTAGTCTTCTTTCTCCCAATAATCAAGTTTCGCCAACGTGAATCCCGTTTTCTACCCTGGGGAAAATCTGTTGTGGAAGGCAATTTTTTTCTCTTCGTGGGGAGAGAGAGGGAAAAAATTGCTCATCAGTATGTATGAAGGAAAGAGAAAAGATATGGTCTTCTGGAATACCTATCATTGTTGTTATGACAATAGTTGTCTTTATCAGGAGTGATGACACGGCAATTCTCTTTTCTTATCATTTTCTGCTAGCAAAGTTCGGATTATCTTTTGTTCCTGTTGTATTTGCTGTCATTGATAATGAGAATGATATTACTAGTATCACCATCGTCATCACCAGTTTTCATTATAATTATTGTTATTGTCATTACTGTTATCACTATGATTGTTATCATTGAGTGTGATAATGATACTACTATTATCATCATCATTCTCATCACTTTTCATTATTATCATTATTGTCATTATTGTTATTATCATCATCAATATTATCCTCATAATAATCATCATAATTACCATCGCCATTATAATCACCATTACCAACGTTATTGCTGTTATCATCATTATCACCACTGTCCCCTTTTTTATTCATTGTCATCACTATCATATGTACCACTCCTTTTGTTTATAAAGCGATTACAATAATAACTATAATAACCCTTTTGACAAGACCATAACCCGAAGATGAAAAGTGAAACAGGAAGGCATAAGCAGAGGGTGATAAATAAACATGAGCAAAAGCCAGTAATGGAAATGTTGATGACTTAATGGGCTGCGGCATGGGAGGTAAGAAGATGCAAATTCCCTCCTTCTCTTCTTTTCCTTCTTCTTCTGCGTCTTTTATTCTTTTCTCTTATCCTTCTTCTTGTCGAATTTAGTTAGTTCCTTCCTTTGATTTTTCATTGTTATTATTTATGTTATTATTGTTATTGTCTTTTATTTGATAATTTTTTTCTCTTTGATATCAAGGTTATATTTTCCCGGTTATTATTCTTCATAATTTTGCTTTCTTTTCTTTCTGCTTTCCTTCTCCCTGCTTCGTTATTATACTTTTTGGAGGAGAAGGAGAGTAATGGAAAGAGAAGACGAATAATAATAATAAAAAGGAGGAAAAGAAGAAGTAAAGAGAAAAAAATAATGATAATGATGTGGAGGATGAAAAGATGATGATGGAATAGCAGAAGACGCTAAAAAAAAAAAAAAAAAAAAAACTTTTCCTTCACCTTTCTCCCTCCCTCCCTTCTCCGCCTCCCTACTCTCTCCCTCTTCCTTCCTCACCCTTCCCTCCGCTACCTCTCCCTCCCCCCCCCTCACCCCTTCCCCCCCCCCCCTTCCTCTCACTCCCTCTCTCCCTCGCTCCTTCTCTCTCCCTTTCTCCAACCTCTCTCCCTATCCCCCACCTTCTATCCCTTCCTCCTTTCTCTCCCCTTCCCACACCCACTCTTCCCTTCCTCACCTTCTCTCCCTTTCCTCACTTTCTCTCCCCTTACCTTGATCCTCCTCACGTTTCTCGACGAATGATTGGTCACAGACACATTGACGTTGATGTTCTCCCCTCTCTCATACACCTCTTTATCCAGCGTTGCCTCCACTTCCACCTGTCCGTCGGCGAGGAGGAGCTGCTTGGAGAAGGCGGCGTAGGGTTGGCTTCGATCCGTAGACGGCGCGCACTGGTATAGCTTCATGCCCATGCGGATGGAGGACCGCTTGTGGGGTTTGTCCTCCGGGTTCTCGC